TACTGCCTCGGCAACCCAAGGAGGGGTCGCTATGAGTCAGGGCCGACTCAACAGCACATAAGAACAACATATATATATAAATAAAATACAATGTAACTACATGTATATATGTGACTATATACATGTTTTTATAAATATGAAAGAAATTGTCAAAAGTGGTTACTTTAGAGCCATAGAACCAGGAATGAAGTTGATCTTTTAGCTTTATAGTACTTCCATTTTGTACCATGAGCATTACTTTTATCCTCACATCTCCATGTACTTGGACATCATACTCTGAGCAGAAGCCCAACAGTTTTCTATTTTATATACTGAGAGGTTTTAACTTTTGTAAAAAGAAAGAGAGGACTCACACTGGGCATTGAACTGCTCCAGGATTGTCAATGGATACAGTCAAAATCCCTCCATTTGTGGTGGAAGTCCGCCATCTGGTTGCAAAAAAAAAAAAGAAAAGAAAAAAAATCCTTCATTAAAATGAAGGTTATTGATCCTCTAAAGTATTCCACATAAAAACATATATTTTCAAAGTGGTCATTAACTTTTTCTCAGCTTTTAAGAAATATAAATACCTGGATCCCACCATGATATAATAAATCAGAACGCTGGGTATGGGAATTAAGACACCCGAATTTATTCAGTATTTTTCACTGAAGTATATGCATGTTTTTTTAAAAAATCACATTATTACACTTGGGCCTCTAGTGAAAAGCAACAGTCCCTCACCCCACAAATTTCCCCTTTCCCATTCCTGCTCCCCAGAGGCATCACTTTTAACCCTTCCTGTTTTTACTACTTGATGGGGAACTCCACTTCAATAAACAAGATGCTTATGTATTAAAATCTTGCCATGAAAAAATGCCACCTCCAAAAGTGTTGATGGCTTTTACTATTTTATCTCTATTTTAAGTTTAAATATACATAAGTGTCTATTTCTTTCAGTAGTGTCTCCTGACCCCCCACTTTTCCTTAATAGCAGAACCACTAATCTTTCCTTCTATGTCTTCTTCTACTTTGTCCCTCCTAATTTCTGTAAGTTTACCTCTGTATTTACATTAGTCAAAATCTGACATTTACATTATATCCTGTTACCAAATTAAGTATTTGTGCTTTGTCCATAGGCTGATACTCAAGTTAAAAAAAAATAAACTGTATTTGTATGTATTACCACAATTACATAAATACCATACGTTGCAAAAGAAAATATGCCATAACTGTAATTTTCTTCCTTATGGTTTCCAATGTCACAAACCTGATGCTAAAAAAGAATTCTTCAAGCGTAAATTCAAATAGAATTTATTTCTCACACTCCAATGGTTCTCTATCATGTCTCATTTTCACTGGCATCATATTTAAACCACGACCATGTTTTGTTTTCCAGAAAGTACCATAATTTTAAATGGTTTGACCTCAAAGCTTGATCACACTGATAGAATGCAACCACACTTGGGAAATGTCAATTTCTAACATACAAAAACAAATTTTTAAAAAATGCTTAGGTCAAGACAAAAGAGACTATGTTTAAGGAAAAATATTTCATTGTTTTAGAGTTTCCTAAAAGCTTTACTAGATTTTCTTCTACTTACTTCCTGAATAATTCACTTATGTAGTTACAGGAAAAAAACTTCATTAAAATGGAGTAAGTAGTTAATAAAAATATAAAAACAGAATAACGTCTTTGGTGCTAAAATTGCTGTAATACTGACACCTGAAAACTAAAAAGGTTTTATAACAAATAAAAATGCAAAGTAGGTTATATTTCAGGCTCAATGGTTAATTTACTTTGATTCCTATTCAATTTCTTTTGGAATGTGGCACATGATAATCTGGGTAGCTAACATCTGGGATTTTGAAATTATACCTTGTAAAACAAATTGGAACTTACTGACGAGTTCTCTTTGCTACTACATCGTCTAGCAGCTGTTCTGTGTTCAACTGGGCCTGAACCTGAAGGGAAAAAAAAAAAAAGGCAGAAGGATCCCACAGAAAGCAAAAGATTCAAATCTGAAGAGCTATACCCTGCTCTACAAGTATAACCCAGTGTGGTGTGTGCATGAATGCAGAAGAGGGGAGTGTGCCTATTTGACAACATCTATTAGGGCTCCTATATTAGAACAAGTGGCAAATATAAGTTTATTCCTAAATAACGCTAAATTCTTATTAAACGTTGCTGGTGAGACACCAAAGAAAGACAAAGAATAGGGAAAACTAACAGAAAGAGCTGATCTATATATCATGTTTTCCACATCCCAAACCCAACCATGGGCCATGCCTATGATTGAGGATTGCTAAACATTCAGGATTCTTTGAGTAAAACGAAAACACTACCAAGGTGTTTTCATACCTTCAGGCCTCTTCTGAAAAGAAAAGTTGCCTGACGAGTGTCTTTCTGATGGCTTAATTTACTTCCACTCCTGGTAAAATTGGCTGGAATATTATTTCTGCAACAAAATCACATATGCCATGACACTTAATACACAACATAGAAACATTTTTAGAAAAAATAACCAAAAATTGTTAAAAAATTGTTAACTCATAAGCTGAAAATTTAAGGTGCACTAAATGTAAAGAAGGAGCTCTAGTGGCATAGTGGTTAAAGCATTTGCCGCTAACCAAAAAGTCAGTGGTTCAAACCCACCAGCCCAATCATGGGAAAAGATGAGGCAGTCTACTTCCAGAAAGATTTACAACCTTGGAAACCCTATGGAACAGTTTCACCCTGTCCTTAAAAAAAAAAAAGTGTCACTACAAGTTAGAATCGACCACAGAAGTCGGTTGGGTTTTTTTTTTTTTTAAATGTAAAGATGACTGAATTCTTTCCTTACTTACATGAAACCATTTGAGATTTGACAACCCTGGTTAATTCTGAACTCATTTATCTCCCAAATATTCAACTCTCTAATATGAGAATACATAAGATAAAGCCATTAAAAATAACACTTGAAATGTTTCCTAAATTTGATCAAAGACATCAATTTACAAGATTGTTGTTAGTTGCCATCAAGTCAGCTCACAACTCATGGAGACTTCATTCACAACAGCATATTCCTACACCATCCTCATGACTGGCTACAGAACAGACTATTGTGATCTACAGAGTTCACTGGCTGATATTCCTTAAGTAATAGCCAGTCCTTTCTTCCTAGTCTGTTTCAATCTGGAAGCTCCACTGAAACCTATTTAGCATCACAGCAACATACTTGGCTCCACTGACAGATTTGTGGTAGCTACACATGAGATGTACTCTGGGAACTGAACCCAGGTCTGCATAGAAGGCAAGAATGCTACCACTGAACTACCAACAGGAAATCACACCTAGGCATATCATTGTCAAACTACTGAAAAAACAAAAACAGAAAGAAAAATCTTAAAAAAATAACATCATCTCCTCCAGCTTTCTCATCCTTCCTCATTTATAAAACCTTCATATATTCATATAAATCTGAGAAACTAACACTTTTCCACTGCTTGTTCTTTTGTACACAGAACAAATAATTTACAATAAATCATGCTTGACTTGACTTTTACTAATTCCTTTCTAGTTTTTCTAGAAGTTGGTAAAGTGTGAGAAAACAGAATTTCTTATTAATCTACTACATAAATATAAGTGCTTAACAGGTAACCTCATCTTACTTCTAACCTTATAGAGGGGTTCAAATGCAAAATTTCCCTAGGTAACCAATTAAAATGTAGTCTCATATAAATAACAGGTTCTTATCAGAGAAATTTCCCTCTCCTAAAAAAAAAAGATAATGGTTAAATAAAATTCCAATTCTAGTCATTCTATTTAGAAGATGACTTCTTTCCAGGTTTTACTTTGAATTATCTTCTTTGAGAGATGTGTAAATGGTACTTGAAACTGATATAATAAGGAAAGTTTGCAGCTTATCAGCTTCCTTTCTGTTTTATCCTTAGAGGACAGAATGCCATGACAATAGGTTATAATTTTGGCTTTCAATTTAATATAAAACAATTTTAGCTTTACAAGCATTCCTATCATGTTCTTTCCAGTTTGCTTTTCCCACAAGTAACATGTATTATAATTAAGTGTTCTATTAAGAGTTATCAAGGCTGAACAATAAATCCAACTTTCAGAATTCCCAATTTTGAGTAATTCTGGCTGAGATGTTAGGATTTTTACCAAAATAACCAGCTTTTACTATTTTACTCCACATACTGAGAGCTAAAGCAGCAGAGTGATGTTTTAAAGTTTCATAATTAAAGGGATCAGTAACTCTGGGTCTAAAAAATAAGGAAGGTATTAGTAAAGTGGTTTCTTGTTGGATGTTCAGATAAACCCCACAGCTGTCTTAAAAATGACCAGAAAACTTGAAGAAATCACTGTAAATCCATTCCTCTCAAACACTTGTTGCAAAAAAAAATGTGTCTTTATTTATGAAAGATAACACATTATTGTCTTATACTTTAGTACTTACTTTCTGTTTAACTGGTTAGGTCTCTTGAGAACTGCAACTGGTTTTCTCTGCACTTCATTTTGTCTCAGAAGGTTTGCCTTCCTTTTCAACACTGGAAAATATCGCTCTATATTCTTTCAGAAGGCAAAAAACTATATTAATGAGACTGCTTTTTGCTACATATCTAACACTACAATAGACATTTCTGAGAGAATGGACAGGGATTGACAACTGGAAGTGTGGGTGAGGGAGATGGAGAAACTAGAATGACTTGAAAATTTCCACTTTTAGTGATCGAAAAGATGACAACCACATTATAATGAAACCAACTGAGGAAAACAAAGAGCTTTAGGGCAGGAAAATGAAGTATTTCCATTTCATATATGCTCAGTCTGAGGTGCTCTGAGGATCACACAGGTGATGGGAAATGTTGCTCTGAAGCTCAAGAAAAGAATCACAATCAGATATAAATTTAGAAATCATTTACATAAACATGATTTATGTAAAATATTTTATATTTTTAAAAATATACACAAGAGAACATACACTAATCCATCAGTTTCTACATGTATAATTCAGTGACAGTGACTACCTTCTTCAAGTTGTGCAACCATTCTCACCCTCCTTTCCCTAACTGTTCTTTCCCCCATTAATATAAACTCATTGCCCCCTAGGGTTCCTATCTAATCTTTTGACTTGCTATCATCAATTTGATCCCATATAGATAGATCTTAAGAGAGCACAGTGCTCAAGGCAGATAGATATTCTTTATTAGTTAAGCTATAGACTATTGTCTGGTTTTAAGAAGACTTCAGGAGATATTTTTGGTGTAAGGATAAACATAATTCTTGATACTAAGTGAAAAGGTAAGAGGGCCAAGTTCCAAACTAAACTGTTTTAAAAAGAGAGAGAGAAAATTATGACAGCAAAGAAGCTTGGGAAGAAATGGTTATAGAGAAAGGAAGGAGTCAAGAAAATTCAGTATTATACAAAGCGCAAGCACATGACATGCCCACTTTTCTCCTTCCACATATATAAATTGAATATATCATTCAAAGTGTAATTCAGGTTTCCATGAAGACTTCACTGATTATTCCACATATTCAGTGATCTCCCCCTTTTCTTTCAAAAATACATAATCTAAATACTACAACCATTTAAATACTTAAAAATACTCTGCAATACAACTATTGGGCTCCACTCATTTGGAACAAGAGAGAAAGGAAGAAACCAAAGACATAAAGAAGAAAGTAATTAACAGAACAAATGGTTTACACAAACCACAGACTCATCTCCCCAGAGACCAAAAGAACTAGAGGGTACCCAGCTATTACTATGACTATTCTAATCAAGGCCACAACAGATGGATCCTGACAGAATGGGAGAAAAATGTGGAACAGAATTTAAATTCTTTTAAGTTCACACTTACTGGTTGAGAGTAGAGGGCTCTCTGAGACTAAAACTCTGAAATACTCTTTAAACCTTAAAATGAAATTATCCTTTTAATTAAAGAGTAGGTGTAATCATAATTTTTTGTGTGGTAATTTATTCCATGTTTATCTTCCCCACTAGTCCTTGTAAGTGCTCCATGAGGGGCAAGATTTTCTACTGAGCTAACTGCAGAATCCCTTGCATCTAGTATATAGCTGGTGCTCAGTTAACATGTACTTAATGAATTAAAACACCTACTCATAATCATTGACCATTGCATTATCTGACATAAATCTCATTATTTTTGACAACAATAAAACATCTATCATTCAATTATTTTGTACATTAATGACGATAAGTCTGGAAGTAACAAATGTGGAGGCACAAAGCAAAAGTAAAGCTGGCTGTGATGGTTATGGGTCAACATGGCTGAGCCTCAGTAGTTTGGTAATGATGTAACTAGCCAGTTATATAATGATGTAGTTATATCCTCCACTATATGAGCAGACTGCAGATATGGTCATCCTCCATTTTTGAATAATATGAGTTTTTGCGTAATGATCTAGTCTTTGGAACCATGTCAGTAAGTGAGGAGTGGTTGTACATGGAACAGAAATATAATAATCAATTAACGTATGGTGAATATATGTTACATGGATCTAAGGTTGATATATGTATATGAACGTGTGTTAAAAGTATACTCATGGCTAAGTTTTTGCTTAACTATATTTTGTTATTAAAAATTATTCCTTCAGAAAAATAAATCAAGGTAATTTTTATGTTAATTTTTACTAAGGTATTATTTATGTACAATAAAATTTTAAATGTACAGTTTGATGAATTTAGGTAACTATATATAATCATGCCCTTGCCTTTAAGCGTTTTCTTGTGTGCCTCGGCAGTCAAGTCCCTCCCCTCCTGACTTCTGTCCCAGACAATCACTAATCTGTCACTATAGTTTTTGCCTTTTCTACAATTTCACATACATGGAATCACAGAGTACATAGTCTTTTAAATGGATTTTCTCATTTAGAATGTTTTCAAACTTATCCATACTGTCATATGTGTTAATACTGTGTTTCTTTTTATTGCTGACTACATTTTCACAGGATGGGTATAAAGTGTTTATTTTTAACTGTAACAATCAGACAATTCAAAACTGTTGCTGTTGTTGTTGTTGTTAGGTGCCATCGAGTGGTTTCCAACTCATAGCGACCCCATACACAGAATGAAACACCGCTTGATCCTGCGCCAGCTCCATGATCCCTGCTATACTTGAGCCCATCATGACAGCCACCGTGTCCATCCATCTCGTTGAAGACCTCCCCCTCTTTTGTTGACCCTCCACCCTACCAAGCACATGACATCCTTCTCCAGGGAATGGTCCCTTCTGACAACATGACCAAAATAGGTGAAACGAAGAATTCAAAACTATCCAAACCTTAATAGAAAATCACTGCTATATATATGTAGCAAGAACAATTTTAAGTTCATAGAAGTATTAAATGGCTTAGTATTATTAAGAGTCAAGTTAAAAGTTATACAGAACATTCTCCAAATTTGGAAAATTCTGAATGTAAAAGGCAAAAGTTACAGAATTCATTGAAAAAGTTATACATTCTAGTAGGAGAATCCCTTAAGAAAAGCGCAACTATTTTAAGTGATTCTCTCTAAACAAAAAGAATATTCATTCTTAGAGACAATCACTTCTCAGTCATTCTCCCAATAAACACTAATAACGTAAATAAGCGTGCTCTACTTTCCTGTTTACATATTTACTTCATAGTAAAAAAAAAACAGAAATAAAATTGCACTAACTTAAATAAGCTTGGAAAGAAAGAAAAAAAGCAGTAGAAAGTCTAATTATGCTCCCCACTACCATCTAGTAGATTCTGACTCGTAGCAACCCTATAGAACAGAGTAGAACTGCTCCATAGGGTTTCCAAAGCTATGAATCTTTACAGACACAGAATTGCCTCACTTTCTTCCACAGAGCAGCTGGTAGGTTCGAACCACTGACCTCTTGGTTAGCAGCCAAATGCCTTACCCACTGTGTCACCAAAGCTCCTTTAATTATGCTCAGTATATTCTTTTCAAGTATAATTATTTTTAGCACATACAGTGACTAAAAGCCTAGTAAGTCACTTAAACAACTTGCTTTAATAAACAAAAAAGGATGATATGAGTTATTTATATATAATAAGAAGTATTCTAAATTTCCAAAAACTAATGTACTTTACCAGTACCATATCCTATCCTACTCATCCTATTAATCTGAATTCAGGTTGAAGAGAGTGTTTCTGAAAAATAGTAAATCTCCAATCATATCCTGTCAAAACTATCAAATTTACACGTTGAAAAAATGAGATCTCAATATTCAGTATATTCTTTGTATTCTATGACTTAATATTTTTAACTAGTTTAAACAACTCAACAGACTACCACATGTGGAAATTTACAATTTTTATAGGAACAACTCATCAATTAGTAGGTAAACCCAATCTCCCAGCATACAACTAATTAATGAGTAACTTCATCTTTTTGTAAACTGAGAAAACGATTTTTATTCCACTTTAACAAATACATGTGGCATTATATGAACGTATTTAATCTTTTTTTCCTTTAATTTTGTATTGTGATTTGGGTAAAAGTCTAGAGAGGAGATCAGTTTTCCATTCAAAAATTCATACATATTTTATTTCATGTCATTGACTGCAATCTCTACAATGTAACATTCCATTTCTTCATGTTTCTTGTTTCCATTCTTCTCTCCTAACCCTTCCTGCCTGCTAAACTTTGCCCTTTGGCAAAGGGTCTGATTAAGAATGGCTGATTATTCTAAGGAGCAGTACCTCCCTAGTACTGCTCACCTTATAGGTCTATCTACGTTTGGCTGAAAATTAAGCAACAGGGATGATTTTCAGTTCCAGGCCTAAAGAGGGACCTAAAGGCAATAGTTTTGGGGGTTCCACCAATCTTTACCCTACAGTAATCCTAGTTTTTTTTTTTTTTTTTAAATAATTTTGAGTTTGTGAGTAACACTAACCTCTCTTAGAAGGTGAGGCAGCTATTGGTGGTGGTAGAAAAGTAAACCGATCTAAGGCAGTTATGTCTCTTAGCCAGCATATGTTTAAAATAATTTAAGGAATGAATGTCCTGATTTTTTTTTCAAATGAGCATGTATTATTTTCATAATCAGAGAAACCAAGGCATTAAAAAAAAAAAAGGGACATTAAGTTCAAAAGGATTAAAAAAATAGAACATTGGTGGCTGAGACTACTAAACAAAAAATAGAAGGAAAAGCATTTGTGAAAATGATTTCAAATAATGCTTTAACCAATTCAAAAATTACTCACTGAGAAGTAAATAAAACCAATTAATAATTAGAAAGTGGTTATCCTGGGTTGTGCCAGGATGGTGGTTAGAATAATTGTGACTCTAAAAATATCAACCAGAGGATAGGTATCCATCCAAGAAAAATTAAAACTTATATCCAGAGACCTGCAGGTGAATAGTCATAGCAAAATGATTCATAGTATTAGAAAACAGAAACAGCCTAAATATCCATCAACTGGTGAATGAATAAACAAAATGCAGTATAAACAAAATGGTATAGTATTTGGCAATAAAAAGATGAAGTACTGATTCGTGCTACAAGACAGATGAACCTCGAAAACATTAATGCTACATGCCAGAATACATATATATTATTGTATGATTCCAGATAAAAGGTAGATTAGTGGTTATCTGGGATAGCAAATGGGATATGACAGTGTCTGAGCATGAGGTTTCTTTCTGGGATGACAGAAATGTTCTAAAATTAGATTGTGGTGATGACTGTACAACTCTGTACGTTTATAAAAATTCACTGAATTGCACAAATAAGTGAATTTTATGGTATATAAATTGCACCTCAATAAAGCTTTAAAACACAACACATACACACAGGGCAAGTTGGAAACTGCAGGAAAAAACCTTTATATTTGAGAATCAGGGATTTAGGTGTTCCTCATGAACGACAATGATTATTTATTTACTAAATGTTTTATATAAGCCCTACAAGCACTACATAAAATAAAATGCTTTTTTTAAAGGTCATTCACAGAAATACTAGTACAAATAAAAGAAAAAGATTTCTGACCCAGGATTAAGCTATCATCTACCTTGTCACTTAAAGGTGGACGATTCATAGGACTAATTCCTTTTTGAATTCCAGTTGCTTTTCTGGCTGCAAGGCCAGTGATAACTCCATAAGGACGTCTCTTTCCAGGCATTACTCTTCCTCTACGGCTCAGACTATTTTTACCAAAACCTGTAGGAGAAAAAAGGAGAGAAAAACAGAAATCTAGAAACACAAATGAGGAGGGCACACAGAGCATAGAATATACTATTTATTAAGCAGAGTGGGGGGCATAAGTATTTTATTAGTAATTTTTTTTGAATTATGTAAAATATTTCAATGAAAAAAATACAGTAAGATGCATTAGAAAAAGTCTGTTTTAGACTGAAGAGGATAGAGGATTTTCACACGTCACTCTAGTTATCCCCTCCTCTCTTTGTCATTTCTTTTTCAACAAACAGGGCAGACTAAACTTTCTCTGTGCTATATAAACAAACAAAAAAAAACCAAACTCATTGCCATAGAGTCGATTCTGACCATAGTGACTCCCATTGGCTTTCTGAGGCGGTAAATCTTTACAGATGTAGATTGTCCAGTCTTCCTTCAGTGGAGTGCCTGGTGGGTTTGAATCACCAACCATCTGGTTTGCAGTCAAATGCCTTAAGCACTACACCACCAGAGCTCCTTCTGTGCTATATAGTTGTTGTTGTTAGGTGCTGTCGAGTCGGACCCGACTCATAGCGACCCCTCCTTGGGCTTCCAAGGCAGTATCACTACGGAAGTAGCTTGCCCCATCTTCCTTCCGAGGAGTGGCTGGCGGGTTTGAACCGCCAGCTTTCTGGTTAGCAATCAAGTGCCTTAGCCACTATGCTACCAGAGCTCCTGTGCTATATAGTAGTAGCCATTAACTACAACCTGGTACTTGAGTACTCACTCAACTACCTGAACTGAAATGTTACAAATGAAAGAATGTAAAATTTTGATACTGATTACATGCTGAAATGATAATATACAGATATAGCAAGTGTAATAAAAATATATTAAAAGTAATGTCACTTTTTTCTTTCACTTTTTTTAATGAAAATTTAAGATTAAGGAGGCTTTCATTTTATTCCCATTGGATAACACTGATCTCCAGTGTAATCAGTCTCTTATCATCTATTTTTATACTACAATGAAATCTGGCTGCTTTACTCTAAATCCTACTCTTTTCAAATTGCTTTTGCTATAGTCCCCAATGAGCTCCAATGGATACATTTTAACCTCTGTGGGTAGCATATGACATTACTAACTTTGCTTTTCCATTCTGCATCTTATCCATTTAAATATATTTTTTTCTATTAGTAAACATGCAAACATACAAAGTACAAATAAGAAAATACAAATCACCAATCAGCACCACCTAGTGAAAAGCATCACTAACGCTGTCTGTCTTTCCAGTCTCTCTTCTTTTACTTGTGTAACATACATGTAAGGGGCTCTGGTGTAGTGCCTAAGGCATCTGACTGCTAACCAGAAGGCTGGCAGTTCAAACCCACCTGCTACTCCTTGGAAGGAAGGTTGGGCAATCTACTTCCATAGTGATACTGCCTCAGAAACCCAAGGAGGGGTCGCTATGAGTCGAGTTCAACTCAACAGCAGTTGCGTTTGGTTTGTTTTTTTTAGTTAGAAAGTTAACATTTCAGCCTCAACTATTTTTAAGCAACCCAAAAAAAATCTATTGATTCACAATTTTTTTTTTAAGCAAGAAGCACATTTCTTACTCTATATACTATAGGTATAGAGCACTTAACGTCCACGATGTGCCCTGTGAAACTTTAGAAAGTTATTCTGATTTGGATGCGGTGCAAACACCGTATTATATATAGGCACTCCCCAGTCCATAGTCAAATCCCAATAAAGCCTCATGGAAGCCCACTGGACAAAGCCTGAGAACTGTATCCACTGGACAAACAGGCCCACCTTGCTAGGGTGTGCGTGGGCCGGGTAGGGTCTGTGCTGGCAGCTGGATTGGGACTACAAATGTCTAAGTGCAGGGCAGAGGTGGTCATGGGAGTGTGTGTGTGGGTGCTGGGATTGTGGCTACCAGTAGCAGCCACTTCTTAATCATATGCAGCTGCTGCTGTTGCCACCACCACTCTGAACCAGGAGCCCACAAGTGCCCCGGCTGCACAGCAGGAGTGGAGCTGTGCTGGGGGTGAAAGGCAGCATGGCTGATGGGTGGGTGAACAAAGCCATAAGGAGGGGAAGTACAAGGCAGAGGAGACGGCACTGTGCGGACTGCTATGTGCCCTGGAGCCCTGACGCTTGTCCACTCTTGGGTTTTGGGGCCTTTGAAAACACTACAAGAAAGTAATAAACAAAACATCCTTTTAAACAAAAACATCTTTTGGGACCACAGATGTATATGCAATCGGACATTACCTGAACAGATATTAAGCGATGCATACCTGTATTTTCTAGGCTACATTAACATGATATTGTCAATGTTATCTCATGTTTTCACTTTTCTTACATTACATTATTCTAGAATGTCCTAAACTTGATACCAATCTCCTATTAATCCTCTCAGTAATTTTTAACATTATACTATTATAAATTACATGGCAATAATACCATGGATTTTTACATATATTTTCTTTATATCAATCTTTAAAAATTGAAATGTTAAATTGTTCTCGTTACCCAGTGCTGCTCTGACAGGAATATACCACAAATGTGATGGCTTAAATAAACAGGAGTTTTTTCTTACAATTTGGAGGCTTTAAGTCCAAGTTCAAAGTGCCAGGCTCTAGGGGCTGGGTGAAAGCCCCTCAGCCTTGGGCTTCAGCTCTGCCTCCAGCTCCCAGCCCACTGGAGCTAGAGGCTTTTCTTTACTCAGACAGCTGCCGGCTGCTGAGGCTGCCAAGCCCAAGGTTGACTAGTAAAAAGGCACAATCCCAACGTTATCAAACCACACGGCAGGCCACTAATTCAAGTCCATTTTAAGTCCCCAGGTCGGCAGAGCATGGCTGGCTGCTGAACAGTGACACAGCCATATGCAGGGTCCAAGCATGCTGTATGCTAGAGACCATCCCCAAAGCTGCTGTTTATATATAGGAAGCAAACCACATACCCAAAGACAGCTACTCAGCTGCTTGTGGTAGATCCCACCATGGATGGAGTTGACTGCCAGTCTCATCATGGGGAATAACTACCACCAGCTGCCAAGCCAGTCAACCAGGCCCAGCCAAGATGACACACAAACATAACCACCACATAAAGTTAAAAAGAATAAAGCAAAATTTTAAGGATTTTGATTCATATTGCAAAAATGCCCTTGAGACATCAAGCTCAACTGGCATAACATACTATACGAAACACTGTTCCACCTCCTACTTTGGCAAGTAGCAACTGGGATCTTAAAAGTTAGCAAGGTGCCATCTAGATGCAACGATGGGTCTCTCCTCGTCCAGAGCAAAGAAGAATGAAGAA